AGCGCAGATTTAAAAAAAAAAAAAAAATTAAAGCTATGCTGCTCTACCTTCCTCACATATCTTGCAAATGAGCTTGATGCATTTGGGTGAATGTGTACGAAGGGGAAAAATAGATAAATGGAAGATGGAGAGAGAAAGGGGTATGTCTGTTTATCTTTGATTCTGACCTTGTTTACTTTTTAATTTGGTCCCGTAAAACCAGCATACTGCACCCAACTAAATCTTCTCTCCTGAAGGAATGTGATTCTCAAGCAACCCTCCTCCTCCCAAAACAGTTCTTTCCTGAATTAAAGCATAGATTGGTAACACTTTGTGGATCCCAATATTGTCTGTCAACAGGAAAAGATGCTATGTGCCCCTTTTCAAATCTCACTACCAAAATTATTTCTGGTCCCTAACAAACTGGTAGACAGACAGGCATTTAGGCGGGATGCAAATGTCAACCATTCTCCACAGATGGAGACTTTCCAAACAGCTCTGCCCCCAAGAAGCTTGACTTGAAACTATCCTCTCAAGCCCAGTTGTCAAAGCAGTCATCCCATCCCGAACTCACCTGCTTGTTAGCAAAGACAAGGAGAACGGCATCTCTCAGCTCATCCTCTGCCAGCATTCTCATCAGTTCCTCACGTGCCTCATTTACTCGTTCCCGATCATTGCTGTCCACTACAAAGATCAGACCTGAAAAAGAGTATGTCTGTTTACCCAAGTGTACAGAAGGAATATATGATTAGAAGAAATTGGGTATTCTATAAAGCAAAGTATGAAGAGGTGGAAGGTCAAACCATGACCCCTTCAAAATAATGCAATTCCAGTATCAGAAATTCTGATTATTACAATGAGCAGCTCAGTCACTCAAAAGTGCTGGCAAGTTAGAAAGAGAAAAGCAGAGAGGTGGACTAGCCTCCAGTTCGAATTCCTCCAATGGGAGGAGGGAGAAAAAGCTTTCCTTTGGAAACCCACAGGTTGTTTACTAAAGAAGACAGATAGGAAGAAGAAAAATCCAGTGGACCAAGTGACTTTTCCAAAAGAGCATTCATATTAAGACTATTTGCTAGTAGATGAATTTTGGGCTGACAACAACAATGCATTTTTACTTCTTGCTTGCCCTACATACATGAATTGGCCTAGTTTTCACACTTGACTGGCAGAATTATGCCCTAAATGAAAACACCAGATTTTAAACTCTTCCCTTATGTGACCAAGGACACTGTCTTATAAACCAATCAACAAAAAGAAATGCAAAGACGCAAGTCCAACCAAGGCTTTTGAATCAGCCAATTAATCTCATACCTTCATCAAAAAACCCAAGGTACGCTGCTGAATTCAATAAATCAAAGTTTCGTTAATAATTCATGGATCTCAAACTGTATTAGGTATTAGGAAACTGTATTAGGTATTTGTATTAGGAAACCTAATTCTGCAGGCTGGAAATGTTCCATTGGATCATACAGCGTAGCTCTGATTAGAGCTCACCATGAAGCAGGTTATTCTGTACCAGTCTTGCAAGACAAGCAACAAAAGCAACTAGTTCAAAGGTTTTTTCCTATGTACCTAGCTTGCTCACACATGCCTGAATAAGTAATTTGTGGACAGAATAGAAAGTCTGAAAAAATGCAAAAAGACGTTTGGTCAATTAGATGCAATTCCTAATTTGCCTGAAGTAAGTAGCTATTTAAAACCTTGAAAATTAAAGGAATGTGGTTATTTGGTTGTGTTGCAAAGCTTATTCCACTGCTACATTGTTCTTAGGGTTAGCGAGGACTTCATAATTCTTAATCTACACATACCACTGCATACCTTATGACTACTGCATAAGCTTAAATCTCAGCAGAATCCAAGATAATTATCTCAGGGGAAAAGAGGAAAACAAAGAAACAAATACCAGTGTTATCAGCCACATAAACTTGCTGACTATCTTGGCTGCTCACAAATCACTGTTTCACTTCGAAACTGAGAGACAGCTACTGCTTAATCATTGCCTCTCTTGTGAGGGACGTGTCAAAGGCTTCAAATGGACCTTGCAATTAAAATTGTTTAGACAGCTCTTCCTAATAAAACATTCTTTAGCTGGCTTACAAAACAGACAGATCAATTGAAAGCTTTTTAAAAATCACAAAAGTGCAACGTGCAAGCTTACGCGCTATTTGTGACTGTGTTCTGACCTCATGTGCATTACCTTTGTATGGATTCAGGAATTTAAAAAATATAAACAGTACCAGTAAAATGCTCAAGCTGTATGATAAAACAATGCATCACCTAATAAACCCATATCAGCTAAAAGCTACCTGGAATAGGGAGGCCCTCAAAGTCTTTTCAGATGCCAAGGACAAAGTATTGCTCAGGAGATTGTTCCACAAACCAGAAGCCACTACCAAAAAGCCCCATTCCATGGAGTAATAGCAGTAGCAGTATTTTTATCCGGTGGGTGCATATCTCTAAGTGTAGCACAAGTGCTTACCTCTAAAAACAGCAGCAGCCCTTCCAATGGATCTCTAAGTAATTAAGAAGCAAAGGAGCCTCAAAGACCTGCTAGTGTGAAGGGCAGGGAGGGAGCAAGCATCACTTCATTCATCCCAATAAAGAGTAGATTTCCCCCTTCCTCTCCCTTCCCATACCCTGGGTATTCTGAAAGTAGTGTCGCCAGAGGGGCCGTATCTTGTCCTGGCCGCCGACATCCCATACAGTGAAGCTGATGTTCTTGTACTCAACTGTCTCAACGTTGAACCCTGGGGAAAAATAATAGGGTCAGAACTTGGGCTGCACAGCAGAAATGTAGCCCTCTCTGATGGAGTCAAGAATGCAGAGCATAAAGGGACATTCAAGAGCAGGACTGAGGCGTTGCAGAGGTCACAGCTAGTTTTCACATTCAGAAGCAACATCTTTAGTATTAACAGGACTTTGCATATGCTTATGGAAGTACAGATGGATGAACTGCCCTAGGAGACAGGTTGGCAGACCTGTTTTTCCATCTAATACTATCTCCATATAAAATTTAAATGATGTAGTTCTCTTGCTTACATCTAGAATTTAAAAGAGGACCTTAACCTTCAGCATTCATCAACAAGAAGTACTTACTGATAAACATGTTACAGTGGGAGATCTTAAGCACACACCACATCCCAATCAGAATCCCAGCTGTGGAAAAACAGCAGGTTTCAAGCAACCACAAGCTCCATAGTATTACTAGCTCTCAGTAATCTCACTAATGAGTCATCTTTTCCCACATACTTGGACAAAAATCAAAAGATGCAATCCATGAAGCACCATTGCTATGCAATCTGTTCTTTACCACAGGGGTCCAGCATAAGCACCTCTAATGAATGGAGGTTGCGCAGCAACATTGTATAGCCAATTGCACTCCAAACACCTTTGGAGGGTTCCCTTCTCTTTCAAGGCCCTTTAGTTTAGGACAATGCCACATCTCCAAACTTCTCTTTGCAAACATGATATTAGCTCACTTTCATCAGTTAAAGGGTACAAGAGAGTTCGGTTGTAGTCAGAGACAACAATGGTGTTTCGATAGCAATTAGCTATGGTGAGTGAAATGGAGCCCCTAAACAGCAAAGCAGAATAGCTCTGAATGGCAGTTGCCTGGAAGAAGGTTGCTTCATTATGGGATACCATGCTCTTTATGTTTTCTAAAAAGATGTGGGTGACCCCTTATGAAATTCAGATCAGCTGGATCTCTGGATCATTTCAGGAGGATCTGGCATACATTCTTACTGCACAAAGGCATTTTCAGAGTGACTCTGCTTATTGGAAGCCAAAACTTCACTATTAGGCAGACCTTGCCCCAATAGCCCTCCTAGTACACCAATAATACATCAAGTATAGACAAGCTACCGGCATCACAGGCAGGTTTTGCCTGTGTGTTTGTTTCATTTCCCATCTAGCTGCTGCCAGTTCTGTGAGTCACCCTAATTAAATCTACTGCGTGCCACATCAGGGAGAGAGAAAAGACTAGTTCAAATGACAAGGAAATGGCTTTAAGTCAGCCTTCCCTGACCTGGTGCCCTCCAGATGTGTTGGATTTCAACTCTCATAATTCCAGCCACCAGGCCAGAGAAGGCTTGTTTAAATTTATTAATTACATGCCTACAACATGCCAATCTTTCCAAGAACTGACACAAAATCCCTAGAAGGAAGATAGGATCCAAAGGTCCCATGGGAAAAAAGATATTTGTTTATGCTACTGCCCTGAAATGATGTGACATGTCCAGTTTCACTCTGCAGCCATCACATGCTCGCAGTTCCACCTTCAAAAAGGAAGGAAAGTATTTCCCAGAAACAAGAAGGCCATACCAATAGTAGGGATAGTGGTGACGATCTCTCCTAGTTTGAGCTTGTAGAGGATGGTGGTTTTCCCAGCAGCATCAAGACCCACCATAAGGATTCGCATCTCTTTTTTGCCAATCAGGCTCTTCAGCAAGTTGCCAAATATGTTCCCCATGGCAGCAAGTTCAACAGTGCAGGACTTGGCTTCTTCTGCCCAGCTGATGTCAAAGGACAAGTCCTATGAATGTGGAAAGTGCTATTAGCTGGAGAAGTAACAGCTCCCTCCAAAATGTTTTGGGACAATCAACAGAACCACAAGAGAAGATCCTAACAGTCTTGAGACTAGAGAATTAAGGATTTATATCGCTAGCATAGAAGAAGAGCACATATGACCCTCCAGATACTATTGGTCTACATCTCCCCCTTAACCCTGACCCTTGATAGATTGGCTAGAACTGATGATAGTGAGAATCCAGCTTTGTATTAGCAGACCTACAAGAAGGTAGGCTAGAGAAGTAGGTAAATTATTCATCTTCTTATAGGCCTTCTATGAGGTCTCCTGGCTCTAAAACATTTCTGAAGATCAAATATATTCAGGCATGTAAACACAAAACTCTTGATTTCAAATTCAACAGGCACTCACTGAAAGTACACCAATCAATAAAACTCTCTCAGTGAAAGACAATACAAGGAGACATGAAAGTTCTCCCTGTGGTGCAGCATCTTTTTTGGTTCACTCACCCATGCATTTGATGTGGGAATTCAAGCTGCCATTGGAAAATCTCTTGTGCAAGGGTGCACAAACATTTTCAAGCTGAGGGCTTACTTTGAATGAGCAGCACACTGGAAGCTAAATTCCAAAAAGTGCTCTAAGCCAAGACAAAGGAATAGGTACAGGAACAAAAACAATGTTTTGATATTGTTTAAATTTAAGTGAAATTATAATAAATATATTGTTTGTCTTTTAATCATTTCACTCAGTTAAAGATTACAGTTGGGTAACAATTTTTGAAGCCGCTCTGGGGACCATGTCCAAAATTTGGGAGGCTGCAAAAAAATCCTAAGGCCTTATTTTGAGCACCTGTTACTTCAAGCAAAAAAAAAAAAAAAGGATGACCTGAGCTGAAAGCTGGCCTTCCTGAAACCTTCTGCAAATAAACTTTCACAAAAGTTATTCACCTACCATGCCTTTTCCCACAGTACTGTCTACCTGCACAGGTTATTCCTTTGCAGCATCGGAGCTGCTTGAAAGAAAGATATATCAACTCTGTTGCTGGGGTTTTTTTCCTTAGTTGGTCACTGAAGGCCATTCTTGGTCAAAGCAAAAAAGGAAATGGCAACTCATTAGCCTCATAATTTCTCTGGCTTCTCTTCAATAATCATGGAATATTAATCCTATTTGAACATTTTATCACTGAGACTTAACAATACCTATTTCATTCCTTTTAAAGCTCTCCAATACACACAATTCACAGCCCAATTTATGAAGTGCTTATGAACTTCTAAAAGTGAGTAAAACAGGATGAAATCAATCCTCATTATACAATCATTTCTTCACCAAGTATGCAGGTTTGGGTAGGGTCAAATAAAATAGTGGACCAAATCAGAAACTGGTTTAATCCAGCACACCTAGGCCTGAGTATTTAAGGAATAAAAAGTGGACTACAGGAATACCAGGCCAAGGCCAGCATGCCTTAGTAGACAGATATATATAGAGGATAAATAATGCACTTAAACCTCAGATGAAGTGACTATGTTTTCATAAAGATGCAGTCCAGTTCGGAAGAGTTCAGGGCCTTTAGACTAGAGATAACTGCTTATTTTTTTTCTCACATTTTCCTCATTCCACGGTCCCACTACACTTATTTCTGATGAAGGAACATACATAACACCAATATAAAGAGAACTACAGTACATACAAATCCAGAGATAGTGTTGGGGGCAGGGTAGGCATTACACGGACAATTCAGTCCTATAAGGAACTCTTTCTCCTGAGTCACATTAGTGAAAAGCAACCCAGAGGCGAGGGGACACACGTGCCAGGCACTGCCCGTCACACAAAGCGTGCCAAGCAAGCTCCATATGGCAGTGCTCACGCCTTGGTGGATTCCCTCTTTCACTCCCCCTCTCCCCCCGCAAAGATATGGGCGCTCAGAAACAACAGAGCTCAGTAGGCTCAATTTCCCTGCCCAAACTCCCGAGCACAAGCGGGGCCACCCATCTCCCCTTGATTTAACTTGGCAGCTTCGGGAGCGGGGAGGCCATCCCAGAATCCCCGCTCCGGTTTAGGCCGGAGGGACCTGGCGCCCTCTTCCGTCAAGACGCCGCACGTCTCCCACGCTCTTCGGCTCAAGGTTTTCAGCTTGCAGGTGGGATCTACCACGACCAGGTATTACAACTCTTTTTCTTACCCTAAAAAAATCACGCGCGGGCCCTACCGGGAAGGATGCTGAACCTCAGTCTCCCTGTATTTCCCTCCTCAGACACGGCAGGGGCCACCCGGATTCTCCCCTCCGGCTTACGACACCCGCCCGAGTGGCGCCCACCCGAAGGGGTGCCATCCACCCACACGCGCTCTGCAGCGCACGCAGCCCCGGGAGCAGCCGCCGCGCCTCCCGCGCTGTCACTGGGAATCGCTCAGCGGCGCTGGCTTCGTTGCCACCAAGCCTGACACCCCCACATTGCAACGCGCAGGCTCCCGTGGCCCTCGCGCTGCAGCTTTCCGGGGACCCTCCCCGTCATTGTTTCGGGCCACAGCAGCCTTTCCAAAGGAAGGAACACCCCCCAAATACACCCAGCCCCCTCCCTCTTGTCCCAACCCCCACCCGGCCTCCCACACGGCAAACGCCAGGGAAAGCCTTGGGAGCCACCTCGCCTCTCCCGCCTCCGTGCAAGCCACTGCCCAGCCTCTCCCCATCGCCGCAATACCCCAGCCGCCCTTTTGGTTTCCAAATGACTTCCGCGGGAGTCCCGGCCGACCGGCGGGCTTCACCCCCCGCTACCACCGAGCTCCCTTCTCCCGTAGTTGCAATATTTCCTCCATCTGCAGCGTGCCCCCCCGGCCCCCAGTTTCTTCCTGGCCACTCGCTGCCACTTCTGTCGCCGCCGCCGCCGCCGCCCCCGCAAAGTGAGCCGGGCCCGAGCACCCACCTGCTCCTGCGCGCGCGCCTCCGCCTCCTGCTGCCCAGCTGACTCTGCACTCTGAGTCCCCTTCCAGCCGGAAGCAGCGGCGGCGATAGCAGCAGCAGCAGCAACAGCAGCAGCGATCAAGCAGGCCCGTGGACACGACGCTCTCGCGAGATCTCGCCACCCCCTCACCCAGTCGGGTCGAGGGCGTTCGTCTCGCGAGATTGTGCGGGCCATCGTCTCCATGGTAGCAGCTGCTGTAATGTGGGGAGTGGGGGAGACACTGCCGCATGGAGGGGGTCTTGAGTTGCGTCTTGGCTGTGGTGGTCCTTTCAACCGATGTTAGCTACCGGGAGGGCTCCTGTCTTGCGGAGTGCCTTGGAGAGATTGTGCCTGAGTTGTCAGCTTTTATGTATATATAAAATTATATACATACAGTATATATGTATGTACATACCTTTGCTGTTCTGGCTTCATGCTTGATTTGAAGAAATATAGATAAAACTCTTGCTGGCCAACCCCCCCCCCCAAAACTAACCAAAACCACTGAAGGCCTTGGGAAAATTCTGGTGTGGATAGGGTTATAATACACCTTAATCCTTAGATGGTGCTGGACCTAATAGTGTCTAGGTGGCATCCAGAACTTCTTGATCCACTGAGACAATAAAATTCTTAGATAGCCTAGAAATTCCATCTCCTTTTGTTGAAAAGCAAAATTTCTAGCAAGACAATTGTTCACTCACCACTAATTCTTCATGACCCAATGGATCGGTTTGGGTTTTTTTGTTCTTGTAAACTTATGTTTTCTCCTCAGGTCCTGCCATGGTGCTTATTGTGGTGAGGGGTTGTTCCTGGGAGGGATGTATGAAGAACGTTAGGAGTGTATGCCAAGAGAATATATTCCCAGCAGGGTTACCCAAGGCATGAAGGTCATCCCGGCTGCCCAGCTAAAGCAAGCAGGCCCCTATACTGGATAGCAGCGATATAGGAAGATGCTAGAGGCAGATGATGATCGCTTTAATGACAAAACATCATTTCGTACTGTGCAGGAGAAGGCAATAGTAAACCACATGGATAAACGATACTGGGTCCCTCAGATAAATCCTATTGAGGAAGAGCCGAGGATCTTTCAGAATGTTAATAATATTTATGACTTGGCTAGATTAAAACCTTTGGAAGTCTAGTTGTTGATGTTGCCATGCAGGAAAAGAAAATCTGAAACCGCTAAGACCGAATTTCAGTGGGAATATGGAAAATCTTGAACTCCATTGAAAGGAACCAAAAGAACTGTGGAATGAAATCAAAGAAGTTGTTAAGGATGAATGTAAAAAGAAACTGCCAAAGACTAAGAAACAGAAGAAAGCAAACTGGGTGTCAGAACAAATGATGGAAATTGCTGTGAAGAGAAGCCAAAACCAAGAAAAACAAAAATCTCAAGATTCCAATAGATAGATATCAGAGAAGATCAAACAAAAATGGAAGGAGTATACTGAAATTCTGTATGATAGAGATGTCAACCTCTAAAATATCTTAGAAAATATTCCCTATTTACAAGAACCTCTAGTTCTAAAAAAATGAACTTAGATCAGCACTCTGGTCATTGACAAGTAGGAGGGCTAAAGAAATAGATGGTATAATTACAGAAATATGGCAAGCAATATAAAAAAATCGGTAAACTATGCCAGCAAATCTGGAAAACAATAGAGTGGCTAAACAGGTTGGAAGAGGCTAGTCTATATACTTATATCAAAGACAGGAGACTTAACAGAATGTGCAAACTGTTGTACAATATCCATAATTTCACATGCTAACAAAATGATGTTTAGGATTATTCAACACAGATCATAGCTCTAAATGGAAAAAGGGAGATACCAGATGTTTAAACTGGTTTTAGAAAAAGCTGAGGAATGAGATATGATTGCTCATGGATGCTGGATAATTGAGAAAGCCAAAGAATACTAAAAAGAAATCAGTATGTGCTTTATTGATTATAATTGACCTTCGCTTATGTCAATCATATCAAGCTGTGGAATGTCTTTCGGAAAATGGGAATCCTAGAATACCTTCTCCTTATTTATTCAACATGTATGCTGAAGATATATTGAGGGAGGTTGGACTTGAATATGACTATGGTTTTAAAATTGGAGGAATAACGGGCTATGCTGATTACACTAGTCTGTTAGCTGAAAATGCAAATGATCTATAAGCTTAGTAATGAAAGTCAAGGAACACAATAAAAACATAAGACTAAGATTAAATATAAAGAAGACCAAACTCTTGAAAACAGGTACAGCAACCAACCATACAGTTGACAAAGAAGATATTGAAATGGTGCATAGCTTCTGCCTTTTAGGATCAACTATCAACAATAAAGGAACCAGCAGTCAAGATAAGCCAAAGAGTAGCAGTTGATAGAGCAACATTTAAGCAGTTGGATAAATTATTCAGATGCAGTGACATGTCTATACTTAACAAAGGTCACAGTTGTGCAGGCAACGGTTTTCCCTGTGACACTATGGAAGCGAAAGTTGGACTGAAGAAGCAGGATAGAAAGAGTATTAATGCTTTTAAACTTTGGTATTGGGGAAGACTCCTGAGAATACCATAGATAGCCAAGGAAACAAAACAATGAATCATAAATCAATTCAGAATTCTCACTCGCCCAAATAATGACATTCAAATGATTGTATTTTGGAAATGTTATGTGAAGACTAGGTCTATACTGCTGTTGAAATAAAAAAAGCAGCAGTCTATACTGCTGGGAAAAGTGGAAGGAAAAAGAGGGTGACCAGTGGCAAGTGGGTAGACTTGATCACAGTGGTGGTGGGGGTATTTTTGGAGGATCTGAAGGGTCAGGCTGGGGACACATCATTCCAGAGAAGATCTATCTTTGTATTCAATAAGAGTTGACACTGACTTGATGGCAGATAATCAGTCAAGCTTATGCTTGTGTCATCTGTTGTTATATCCACCCCCCTTGTCTACTGTCAGCCTCTTTTTTACCTGCTCTCAGTTTTTCCAAGAGTTGGGGCCTATCCAATGACTCCTGCTTTATGTGTCCAAACTAGCCTTTCTTCCTCACTTCCAAAATGTTATCAGCATATCTGAAGTTGTTGAGGTTTAATTTCTTATTACCAACATTTCTTATTATATACACTAAATAAAAAAGGTGGCAGTACACAACCTTCAAGTATTCATTTCCCAATTTTGAACTACTGTGCTGAGTTGCTCCATGTTCCTAATTGTTGTTTCCTAGCCATTATACAAATTCTTCAATAGGCAGATTAGGTGGCCCAGTTCACTCATGTTTTTGAGTGCTATTCAGAATTTGTTGTGGTCTGCAGTCAAAAATCTTACTATAAGTGGCAAAAGTCTAAATAAATGTATTTTAAGAACTTTCCTTGCCCTTTCATATCTATCAGCTGTTCACAATATGAATGTGGTATACCTACCTCTTCTGAATCTAGCTTGTATATCTGGTAGTTCTCATTCCATTTTTTGGGTTGAAGACTGGATTGCAACATCTTGAACATTATCTTACTTGTATGTGAAATAAATGCAATTATCTTAGAGTTGAGCATTCTTTAGCACTGCCCTTTTGGAATATTACAATTTGTTGGCTGCTGTTGTGTTTTCCATATCTGCCTATAATCTCAAAGTAGCACTTTTAATTACAGGTAGTCCTCAACTTATGACCACAATAGAGACCGGAAAGTTCATCATTAAGCGATGCATCACATGACTGCACCCAATTTTACAACCTTTTTTGCTGTGGCCATTAAATGAATCATGCAGCTGTTAAGCAAATCTGGCTTCCCCCATTGATTTTGCTTGTCAGAAGCTGGCTGGGGAGGTCGCAAATGGCAATCATGTGACTCTGGGACGCTGCAATTGTCATAAATACATGCCAGTTGCCGAGCACCTGAATTTGGCTGCGTGACCACGGGGATGATGTGACAGTTGTAAGTGTGAGGACTGGTCATAAGTCCCTTTTTTTCAGCGACGTCGTACTTTGAATGGTCACTAAACAAATGGTTGTAGGTCAAGGACTACTTGTATGTTGCCTTGCAAGATTTTAAACAGTTCAGCAGATTTAATGCTTTTCAAAATGTCTGGCTGTAGTTCAGTGATCAAAGCTTCATACATATTAGTGATTTAGGAATCTTTTGAATGCAGTTCTTCTCTATATTTGTATCATCTCTTCTTCACATCTTCTTTCTCCAGGAGATCTTTGTCTTTCGTTGTCCCCATCTTTATATGAGTTCTCCCTTGATTTTTGTAATTCTCTTAGATGCATCTCTTTTTTTCCTATTCAGTAGTTACCCTCAATTTATTTGCACTGCCTATTTCATCTACTTGTTTCTTCTGGCTCTTCTCTGAAACTCAGTGTGTAGTTGGATAATTTTTTCTCTGTTTTTGTTGACTTTTCCTTTCTACCTTTCAGCGGCAATTTTCAGCATGTCAGCAGGCAGCCATTTTATGTTCTTTTGCTTTTTACATTTTAGGATATTTTTGTTTGCTTGAACTTTAACAACGTCACAAATTTCAGTTCAGAATTCTTCAGGCAGTCAGTTTAGCCAATCTAATCCATTAATTCTTTACCCTTCCTGCACGATCGTATGGAATATGGCTGAGTTTGTATCTTCTGGGTCTATAGTAATGGTTTTGTTTTCCTTAAGTAGCAATTTTGTGAGAAGTTTGCAATCTGAGCTGTAGTCAGCAGCATGGTTTTTTTTCATTTTGTTTTGTTTTGTTTTGTTTTTGGCTTTGCTGGCTGAATAGCACTTCTCCATCTTTATTTGCAGAGTTTATAGTCAGCCTTTAGTAGCCTACCTAAAAGAACTTGTCATACTTTTCTAGATTGAATTTAAAACCAGTACAGTTTAATTTAAAGCCAGGGGAAGAACTTCTGAAAACCTGATGAAAAAAAAAAACACAGGGCAGATAAAAGCTACTGTATAAGATGAAAATCGAACATCCAGCTCTTTTAGAAAATCCAGATATTCTCCTTATTCTGCCAAATCTGGCTTTAGGTTGGAAGTGATCTGATTTATGTGCAATTTCAGGGGACCAATAAATTGTTACACAGGAACTTTTCTGACATGTTTTTGTTTGGTCACAATCCTAAAT